ACAAACATTCAAAGTTGGAAAATCGAAAAATTGCAAACTCAAAAAGTTGCATGTTGTAAAACTGAAGACCCAAAGAAAAATAATAAAATACTGAAAAATGGGAAATCGAAAAAATAAAACATTATAAAATCGGAAAACTGAAAATCGAAAAAATGTAAAAATTCAGAAAATAAAAAGCCGAAACGAAAAATTGCAAACCCCAAATTTGAAGGTAAGAAAAATTGAAAAACTGAAAAATTAAAAATTGAAAAATTGAAAAGTCGAATAAATGAAAAAATCCCACAATTGAAAAAATTCTAAAATATGAAATTGAAAAGTGTTTTTTTTTAATTATTGTTATTGTTACATATTTAAAATGACAACATGAGAAAAATTGCAAATCAAAAACTGAAGAAACGCAAAATCAAAAAATCATGACATCCCCACTGAAAAATCTAAAATTGAAAAACGGAAAAATAAAAAATTAAAAAGTTGAAAAATAAAATCAAACAATTAAAAAATCGGAAATTTTAAAAAATAAAGAAAAAAAAAACAAACGAAAAATTAATGGATCAAAAAACTGAAAAAACGAAAAAGTGGAAAACTTGATAATTCAAATCAAAGCACTGAAGATTTGTCGATTCTTCAATTTCTCAACTTTTCGAATTTTCGATTTCTCAATTTTCCGATGTTTCAGTTTTACGATTTTTCAATTTCTCGTTTAAAATATTTTTTGGTTTTTCGACTCTTCGATTTTTCTTCTTTCCGATTTCTCGATTTTTCAATTTCTCAATTTTTTAAATTCTCAAATTTTTGATTTTTCAGTATTCCGATTTTTTGACTTTTATATTTTTACGATATTTTCATTTTCTTGGGTTTTTTAAATTTTCCGTTTCTGGATTTTTCTATTTTTTCAATATTTCGAAATATTAAAAATAAAAAAATTCTAAAATCGTAAAATAGAAAACATGAAAAATAGCAAATAAAAATTGAAGAAACAAAAAACTGAAAAATCGAGAAGCTGAAATATTTAGAACTGAAAAAACAAAAAATTAAAAATCTAGGAGTTGGAAAATCGACAAATTGAAAACCGAAAAAAGGCAACTCGAAAATTAGGAAAACACAAAAATTGAAAAATTTCACATTGAAAAAAGAAAAATTACAAAATCAGAATACTGAAAACCGAAAAGTTGAAAAAATGAAGAAAATAAAAAACTGAAACGACAAATTGCACACCGAAAAATTGAAGAAATGAAAAATTGCAAAATCTAAAAACTGAAATACTCAAAAGTTGGAAAATCGAAAAACTGAAAACTCAAAAAGGTGCATGACGTAAAATTGAAGAAACGAAAAAATAAACTATAAAATCGGAACATTGAAAAATCGAAAAAATTAATAAATTCAGAAAATAAAAAGCGGAAACGAAAAATTGCAAACCGAAAATTTAAAGACAAGAAAAACTGAAAAATTAAAAGTTGAAAAATCAATTTCAAATCGAAAAACTGAAATATTTCACATTAAAAAAAAAGAAAAATTATAAAATCAGACCACTGAAAAATCGAAAATTTTTAAAAATAAAGAAAAAAAAACCGAAATGAAAATATGATGAATCCAAAAAACTTACAAAATCGAAGAAGTGGAAAATAGAATAATTGCAAATCGAAGCACTGAAGTTTTGTCGATTCTTCAATTTTTTGATTTTCCAATTTCTCGCTTAATGGATTTTTTGGTTTTTCGACTTTTCGATTTTTAGTATTTTTAGTCTTTTCGATTTCTCGATTTTTCAATTTCTCAATTTTTCGATATTTCGGTTTTGGGATTTTTAGACTTTTCGATTTTTTACTTTTACGATTTTTCAAAATTTTGCCATTTTTTAAATTTTAGAATTTTTGATGTTTTATTTTCTCGATTTTCAATTTTACGGTATTATATTGTTTCATTGGAGTTTTTACATTTTACATACATATGTACTTCCATTTATCGATTTTTCAATTTTTTTATATTTGGAAAAATTAAAAATCAAAAAATTCTGAAATCGTAAAATTGAAAACATGAAAAAATTTAAAAATTACGAATACTACATGTTTAAAACGAAAACTAGAAAAATTGCAAATCAAAAATTGAACAAAACGAAAAACTAAAAAATCGGGAAGCTGAAATATATTTCAATATTTCGAAAAATTAGAAATCAAAAATTCTAAGATCGTAAAATTGAAAACATGAAAAATTAAAAAAAATATGAATATGTACTACATATTTAAAATGAAAACTAGAAAAATTGCAAATCAAAAATTGAAGAAATGAAAAATTGCAAAATCTAAAAAACTGAAACCAAGTTGGAAAATCGAAAAACTGAAAAAAAAATTAATAAACTATTGAAAAATCGCAAACCGAAAAATTGAAGAAACGACAAAAAAAATCCGGGGCAACAGACAGACGCACAAAGAGACAGACGGACAGACAGACAGACAGACAGACGGAAACGGGAGACCTATTTCTTCGTCCTCTAGGGGTCATGAAAGGTCGAGAAAATGTAAAAGTAGAGAGTCGGCCGAGGGATTCGATTACAATACTTCCTTTTCTTATGCTCAGGAAATTAAAATAAAAAATTATTAAATCAGACCAATGAAAAATCCAAAATTTTTAAAAATAAAGACAATAAAAAACCGAAACGAAAAATTGCAAAATCGAAGAAGTGGAAAATAGAATAATTGCAAATCAAAGCACTGAAAATTTCTCGATTTTTCAAGTTTTCGATTTCTCAGTTTTCGGATATTTCAGTTCTACGACGTTCAATTTTTAATTTACATAATCGATTTTTTGGTTTTTCGACTTTTCGATTTTTCGGATTGCTGATATCTCGATTTTTCTATTTTTCATTTTTTCGAGTTTTTAAATTTTCGATATTTCACTTTTTGATGTTTCGATTCTCGATCCTTCAATTTTTCGCCTTCTCGCCTTTAGATTTTTCGGTTTTTCAATTTGTCGATTTAAAAAATGTTTGGCTTTTCCATTTTTCAGTTTTTCGATTTTATAAATTAAAATTTTTCAATTTCGAATTTTTCGATTTAGTATTATTATTTTTATGTTTTGCATATTTCAATTGGGATTTATGTACTTGGTAAAACTGTGAAATGACTTCATTAAATTTTTGGTGGGAATGATTCGACAAATTTTGGTTTGCGTTTCACAATCATAACAATCCATCCACAATTTCGGAGATTATAAATGCACTAAAATCGCCAATACAGAAATGACAGGCGGACGGAAACAGGAGACCTACTTTTAGAAATTCTAGGAACTGCGACCTTGCGAAATAAAAAATGTTACAAACTAGATATTTTAAGCACAAATTTGTGTTATTAATTAAATAATAAACCATAAATTAATAAAAAAAAAATTGCGTTTCGTGTGTTTATTAAATTTTATTTCTGATTTTAATCGAATACAAACATTTAGAACAAAAAACTTAAAGTGAAACATAAATTGCTTAATAATTAGATTGCGTGTTTGTTTCTCAAAATAATTTTAGTACCTACTTATTTCTGCGCTCTGACTGGTGGACTCGTTATTTTAGCTTTGTGCACACAAAACTTATAAAAACAAGAACTAGTTGCACGTAACGTTTCGGTCAAAAATAAATACAATTTCGTGGATTAGTAACAACCCATCTTCATGCAACACGTGGTTAGTGTATTTTTGTCCTCAATGACATAATTTCCGAATTTATATAAAACTTATTTCTTAAGGTGTCAAAAAAGTAATCTGAGATTGTTTTCAATAACTGCGTGAGCGAAATTTTATTGAAACATCGACGAAATGTTTGCTTTATCTAAAAATAATACAACAATGAAAAATTCGCGTAGGTGTCTCAAATTATTACATTCTGTTTCATAAATAGACAATGTTGCATTCGGTTGGAAATCAAAAGTCAATCGTGATCTCGAAAGACATAAAAACAACACACCAAATCACAAGCCGCTGACTCCTTTATTTTTGAAATTACACTTCGGAATTCTGTGCAGAAATTTGTTGAGCGAAGTTTTTTAACCAGAAATGCGAAGAATTTCACAATTAATTATTTGGCATATAAATGGTACTTTCCCGTTAGGCATGATAAGTATATCGAAATGATGTGTTGCTGCTATTACTATTAAATTATAACTTGGACCACCTAATAGGATTCTTTCAACATTGCCAACATATTTTAAAATTTTGTGACATGAAATAACACGTTTTGATTTTTTCGTGTTTCGCCAACATTTATGCAGCAGGTACAAAACTGGTGAAAATACACCAAACAAACATCCTCAGGATGTTTATATAGCAAACTGTTGATTTTCAATATAACTTAGAAATCTACTTTGCGGTGTCCTATAAATCGGCTCAGGCACCCTTCCCTCGTACTTGTGGCCCATTCGAAACTGGTCCACTTTTTTGAACCTCGATTGTACACAAAAAGGAATTTCAAAGAGCATTCTTCAATCGACCCGGTTAATGTATTCAGCCGTATTACGTGTCAACTGCTTTAGTTAACCTCTTTAAGAACTGCGGGGTCAATTACCATAATTCAATTATACGCAGCTTTGAGTTTTTGTATTTCGTCAAGTTCCATCGATAACTCCTTGAGTGAAATATTTCTGTAATCGCGACTAGAAATTTTATTCGTGCAGAAGTAAACTTCACTTCGTCGCTCCATTTCAATACCCATTTACTCAACTGTAATTTCCAATAGAGCGTAACCCGAGAGCAATGGTTCCAGTTTGAGTATTCGTACGATGATTAACAATTTTTCTTGAGATGGACTCCGACTGAGCTCGAAACCTGCTACACATTATACATTGTACCCAGTTGTTGTTGTAAATACGCGCAACTATGACTCAGAGCATTAATTATAAGTTTGACACAAATAAAAATTTTAGTACGCAAATAATGGATAATTCCGATAATTTTCCAAGGCCGCAGAGCTTCTATATGGAACGAAATTCCTCGAGGAGGATATCACGCTCGGCACGACTCACCTTTTTTCAGCTTCTTTTCAGCTTTGATCCTTTCCTTCTCCAGCGTGGCCAGTTTTTTCTTATCTATCGGTGGCGGTTTCTCGTGACCGCTTTTCTCCGATAGGATCAGCTGATCGCTGGCGGATTTCCCGTCGGTTTGATTTTTGTTTTTCATTTTCTAGCGCGCGCTAGTACGACGGACGAAAAATTTCCTTAACGAGCACTCGTCGACGTGTAATTTAGGTGAAAGCAAAAAATGCGATTGCGACTGAAAGCGGCCGAAATACCGAAAAGCGGTTTGCGATTTGTTATTATTTTTGATTAGTGACCGCAGTGCGGATATCTTTGCATCACTATTATTTTTACGCGAATAACAGCGGCGAAGCAGCACCACAAGCGACGGAACGAAACGGTACACTGAAAGCAAAAGCACCGACTGAAGCCCCGTTCAGATGATGATGACTAACTAGTTGAACGGAGTGGAGACGTGAGTGCAGTAATTTAAATTGTCAAATGTTTGACCGTTCATTGCACGCATACATGTCGCGGTAATTTTAGGTTTACCTTTGGATTGTGCGTCTTTACGATTGGGGATTTATTTTTATTGGGTTTTTGAAAATTGGGCACGGCGACGTTGGCGGTATTTTGCGTGCGAAACGAATGCAGCGCCAGTGGGTTGGTTATTTTTGAAGTTTATGTACTGCATGGTGTAGGGAAATGCATAAAACTGTCGCCTTAAATTATCGCCAGATCGGGCACTCAAAAGTTCCGACGTGGTTCTATTTCTTGCAGTTTGGTACCCTACAGAGGGTGTTTCGAATGGGAGTTGCTCCCAAGTTTAATTAAATTTATCTATACAGGGTCTCCCAACAGACACAATGCCAAATTTTTTATAAAATTTTCTTGTCAGCTATACTTCTAAAAGTAGCTACAACTCGTCAAGATGTTTCGAAAAATTTTAAAATTAGAAAAATTGAAATACAGCAAATAGTATAACAAGAAAAACTACGATTAGCGCTTTTTTTACTTTTTTCGCATCCTAGATTCTATATTAGTTTCCACTCCCACTCGGCAGAAGAACATAATTAGCCCCGCCCACCCACCCTGTCTCTTTTTGAGTGATTGATTTTATCCGATCTGAATGAAATGAATGATCTTATACTGAACAGAAATAAAATTAGTCTTGCTAAGACAACACTGATTTTGGCACATGACATACCCTCAAAGAAAATAAAGGGTGGGTAGGCGAGGCTAGTATTTGTTAAGATAAAACTGATATTTCCAAATGGAATAACCTTGAAGAAAATAAACAGTAGAGGGAATATCATTAGGCTAAATCAGTCTTATCTTTGCAAGTGTTGACATATGTATACAGATACTAAAAAGTTTAAATAATCGGAAATTCGAAACATCAAAAAATCGTAAAATCGAAAAATGGAAGAATCGAAAAACTAAAAAATCTATAAATTGAAAAATCCCAAAACTGAAATGTCGAAAAATTGAAAAACTGTAGAATCGAAATATCGAAAAATCGTATAACCGAGATTTCAGGAAATCGAAATTCAAAAATTGAAACATCTAGAAATTGAAACATCAAAAACCCGATAAAATGAAAAATTAAGAAATCAATACATGGAAATATCGATAAATTGGAAAATCGGAAAACTGAAAATTGAAAACTTGAAAAATCTAAAATTTTAAAATTCAAAAAATTGAAAAACCGAAAAATCTAAAAGCGAGAAGTCGAAAAATCGAAAAATCAAGAAATAGAAATAATTAAAATTAAAAAAAAAAACGAAAAATTAGAATGTGGAAAAATTGAAAAATCCCAAGATTGAAAAATTATAACACTGAAACGTCGAAAACTTGAGAAATCGAAAAATTGAAAAATCTAGAAATCGAAAAGTAGAGAAATCAAAAACTCGAAAAATTGGGAAATCGAAAAGTCGAAAAATCAAAGAATCGCTGAATAGAGAAATCGAGAAAAGGAAAAATCGAAAATTTCGGAACACCAAAAATTGAAATGTTGAAAAACTGAGAAATTGAAGAATTGAAAAAACGAGAAATCAAAAAAATGAAAAGTCGAAAAATTTCAAAATTCGAAAAATTGAAAATCGAAAAACAAGAAATAGAGAAATCGAAAAATCTGCAATTAAAAAATTGAAAAATTGAAGAATCGAAAAACTACAAAATCTAGACATTGAAAAATCCCAAAACTGAAATGTCGAAAAATTGAAAAACCGTAGAATCGAAAAGTCGAAAAATCAAATAACCGAGAATTCCAGAAATCGAAATTCAAAAATTGAAACATCTAGAAATCGAAACCACAAAAATCCGATAAATCGAAAAATTAAAAAATCGATCATTGGAAATCTCGTTAAATTGGAAAATCGGAAAACTGAAAATTGAAAAATTGAAAAACCTAAAAATTGAAAACTTGAAAAATCTAAAATTTTAAAATTCAAAAAATTGAAAAACCCAAAAAATCTAAAAGCGAGAAGTCGAAAAATCGAAAGATCTAGAAACAGAAAAAAAACGAAAAATTGAAAAATCGAGTAATCAAAACATCAAAAAATCGAAATATCGAAAAATCCCAAGAATGAAAAATTGGGAAACCGAAAAGTCGAAAAATCAAAGAATCGCTTAATAGAGAATTTGAGAAAATGAAAAATCGAAAATTTCGAAACACCAAAAATTGAAATATTGAAAAATCGAAAAATCTGAAGAATCGAAAAACTGAAATCGGAAAATCGAGAAATCGAAAAATATAAAATCAAGAAATCGAAAATTCGAAAAATCGAAAATTTGAAGAATCGACAAATTGAAAAATCCTCAAACTAAAATGTCAAAAAAGTGAAAAATCTAACATTTAAAAATTCGAAAAATCGAAAATTGAAAACTAAAGTACTAAAAAACCGAAAAATCGAGAATTCAAAATATCTAAAATTAAAAAAAGAAAAGAAAATTTACAACGTCGATAAATTGAAGAATCGAAAAATTGAATCGACAAATCGAAACATCAAAAAATCGAAAAATTGAAGTATTGAAAAATTGAAAATTTGAAAAATCGAAAAACTGAAATATCGGAAAATGGAGAAATCTAAAAATAAAAATCGGGAAATCGAAAATTCGAAAAATCAAGAATTTAAAGAATCGATAAATTGAAAAATCCTCAAACTAAAACGTTGAAAATTGAGAAGTCGAAAAATCCAAAAGCGAGAAGTCGAAAAATCGAAAGATCAAAAAATTGAAATATCTAAAATTAAAAAAAAAACGAAAAATTGAAAAATCGAGTAATCAAAACATTAAAAAATCGAAAAATTAAAAAATCGAAATATCGAAAAATCCCAAGAATGAAAAATCTAAAAATCAAAAAGTAGAGAAATCAAAAAATCGAAAAATTGGAAAATCGAAAAGTCGAAAAATCAAGAATCGGTTAATAGAAAAATTGAGAAAAGGAAAAATCGAAAATTTCGAAACACCAAAAATTGAAATATTGAAAAATCGAAAGATTTGAAGAATCGAAAAACTGAAATCGGAAAAACGATAAATCGAAAAATATAAAATCGAGAAATCGAAAATTCGAAAAATCGAAAATTTGAAGAATCGACAAATTGAAAAATCCTCAAACTAAAATGTCGAAAAATTGAAAGATAGAGATATCGAAACATCAAAAAAGTGAAAAATCTAACATTTAAAAATTCGAAAAATCGAAAATTGAAAACTAAAGTACTAAAAAACCGAAAAATCGAGAATTCAAAATATCTAAAATTAAAAAAAGAAAAGAAAATTTACAATGTCGATAAATTGAAGAATCGAAAAATTGAATCGACAAATCGAAACATCAACAAATCGAAAAATTGAACTATTGAAAAATTGAAAATTTGAAGAATCGAAAATCTGAAATATCGGAAAATGGAGAAATCTAAAAATAAAAAATCGGGAAATCGAAAATTCGAAAAATCAAGAATTTAAAGAATCGACAAATTGAAAAATCCTCAAACCAAAACGTTGAAAATTGAGAAGTCTAAAAATCCAAAAGCGAGAAGTCGAAAAATCGAAAGATCAAAAAATTGAAATATCTAAAATTAAAAAAAAAAACGAAAAATTGAAAAATCGAGTAATCAAAACATCAAAAAATCGAAAAAATAAAAAATCGAAATATCGAAAAATCCCAAGAATGAAAAATCTAAAAATCAAAAAGTAGAGAAATCAAAAAATCGAAAAATTGGAAAATCGAAAAGTCGAAAAATCGAAAGATAGAGATATCAAAACATCAAAAAAATGAAAAATCCAACATTAAAAATTTCAAAAAGTTGGAAATTGAAAACTGAAGTACAAAAAAACCGAAAAATCGAGAAATCGAAATAACTAAAATTTAAACAAAACGAAAAATGGAGAAACCGAAAAAACTAAAATTAAAAAAAAAGAAAAATTAAAATGTCGATAAATTGAAGAATCGAAAAATTGAATCGAGAAATCGAAACATCAAAAAATCGAAATATTGACAAATCCAAAATTTGAAGAATCGAAAAACTGAAATCCTAAAACTAAAATATCGGAAAATCGAGAAATCGAAGAATAAAAAATCGGGAAATCGAAAATTCAAAAAATCGACAATTTAAGGAATCGACAAATTGAAAAATCCTCAAACTAAAATGTCGAAAATTGAGAAAACGAAAAATCCAAAAGCGAGAAGTCGAAAAATCGAAAGATAGAGATATCAAAACATCAAAAAATTGAAAAATCTAACATTAAAAAATTCAAAAAGTTATTAGAGAATGTCGAAAAATTGAATCGAGAAATCAAAACATAAAAAAATTGAAAAATCGAAGTATAAAAAATCCCAAAATTGAAAAATGCTAAAACCGAAACATCGACAACTTTAGAAATCGAAAAACTAAGAAATCGAGAAATCGAAAAGTCAAAAAAAAAGAAAAAGTTGAAAAATCAAAAAATAGATTTCTAGTGAAATTGAGAAAAGGAAAAATCGAAAATTTGAAACGCCAAAAATTTATTCGGCAAAATTTTGAGATAACGTCGTCAATTTTTTGGGAGGGGATAACCGACGTTCAAAGATAAAAAAACACCAGGGATCTTCGAATTGTTTTCAAATCTTTCAAAAATTAAATCTCGAAGATTCATTTATATTCTACCTGAAAATTTTCTCACATTAAAAAAAACTCAGCGCCTTTAATGTTCCTTAAAACTTGTGTTGGACAATTATTATCATTAAACTTATTATATTAAAAAAATACTTCCAAAAACAATACACAAGGATTACCAAAATCTTTTCAAATTCCCTAGCTTACGGTCGGCAAGTAAAAATCTTATACCCTATTAATCAAAACAATAATAATAATCTTTAATTAATCAAACTAATCTCAATCCTTACAGAAAAACATGGATTTATTTTATAATTTCACCTCACAAAAAGAAGATTAGAACTTTGTTTAGGATGCTCCAAAAAAGTCGATAGTTC